CTCGATGATATATGTAAATTCGTTTTTGTTTTTGTTTTTGTTTTGTTGCGTCTGACTGTTTCTGTATCTGTTATTATGTACCTATGGAACGAAATGATTTGGATTTTGGACTGAATTTGTTTGTTTGTTTGGTTTCTCGTTTCTGTTAATTGGGTGGGAATGTAGGATTAGTCTGGTGGGATGTTTCTGAGATGGAAAAGAAAAGGATGGATTGTTTGATGTTTGTTTGTGGTGACTTGGGACAAATTGTTGGATTTTGGATCTGATATCTTGTGTTACTGGTTGATTATGGGGGGATGGGAGCTGTGATATAAAAATGATTGAAAGGGGAAGTTGTTCCTATCACATTAGCTTCTTCTTCTTATGTGTTGAAATGACAAATGATTGATAAAGGTAAAGTCTATTCTATCCATATTAGCTTCTTATGTGATGAAAGGTGTGATTGTGTGCAATACTGCGTTTTTGTAGGCTGAAGATGTGGAGAGGCCTCTTATAACAGATGCTCTTAATCTGGCCGAGAGCCTAGGTGGTGAGTTTAGTAGAAGTCATACTGTTGAAAGTGCAGGTCACAATGCACAAGGGTCCTTTGATTCTCCTCGGACTCACGGGCTTGTTCATAAACCAAGGCTCCCTTCTACAACATCACATTTGACACACAGTATGCCGCTACAATTTATGTTATATTTACCTTCTCCTTTTTAGATATGAAACTCATGAAAGGGTTAACAATTGGTTCTCTTTCAGGTGATAGCTTTGTCCTTGATATTGGTGATACTTCGGAAGATGCTGTACTGGGGCAAACACTTAAGGGAGTTGGGATTGCTCGCTTTCATGAAGAGCAAAAACAAGGAAGAAATGAAGATACTAAGAGTGTTTCTAGGTTTGGCAAGGAGAATGAGAAAATTAGGGAATTTGTGCCCAAGTATACCACTGATCAAAGTAATTTCCTCTTTTATGAATCATGGAAGTGTTCTGTTTTTTTGTTTTTGTTTGTTTTTTTCATATTTTTGTTTTTGGGGGTCATTGGGATGTAAAACATGTCATCATATGTTCCTGTTAGAAGTGCAGGAAGTGTCCTTATGCTGGAGGTTATCTCAGGGCCTTCTTGTGGCCTTCAGTATTCAATACAGTCAAGTAATACATCCAAGCTTCCGTTCACTCTTGGAAGAGTTCCACCCAGTGATGTCACGTTGAAGGATTCAGAAGTTTCTGGAAAACATGCCCAAATAAATTGGAACATAAATGTAAGGTGTTAGGAAAATCTATGGACTCCATATGCAATCCGTTGTGCAGTGTTAGTGTGCCTTGCTCATAATATTTACCTCTTTTTTCCAGAAAATGAAGTGGGAGCTGGTTGACATGGGTAGCTTGAATGGAACACTTGTAAATTCTCGTTTAGCTCACAACCCTCATTTGGGAAATAGACAGTGGGGTGATCCAGTTGAGCTTGCAAATGGAGATGTTATAACTCTTGGCACAAGTTCAAAAGTTCTTGTGAGTTGATGAAATTCTGCATCAATGTTGTATTGTCCAACTACTGAGTATTACTAGACTTGGTTGTTTCACTTATGCAGTGTCTGTTCTTTCAGGTACAGGTTACATCCCAATCCGAGTGCCATGTTCCATTTGGGGTTGGCCTGGCAGCAGACCCAATGTCTTTACGCCGAGGAGCCAAGAAGTTGCCCATGGAAGATGTCTCCTTTTACCAATGGCCTCTTCCGGGGACTGATCAGGTCATACAGTTGAATAATAATAATAATAATTATTATTATTATTATTATTATTATTATTTTTATTTTTACTTATATCTTCGTATGCACTTAGATGAATTTGGGGTGGCCTAAAATGCTTGCGATTTTTTATTGCAGTTTGGATTGTTTGGTATATGTGATGGACATGGTGGAGCTAGTGCTGCTTCATCTGCTAGCAAGTTAGTATCTTAATTTTTCGTGTTACTTTCTCAGCTGCATTTTTCAGATTAAAAAATATGAGGTCGTATTTGTTTCTGTTCCTAAGGGAATTTATGATGATCTTATTATTATAATCGCTTTACCATTTGACGGAAAGTTAAATAGCAATATAGCATCTAGAATTTACATCTGTATATTGTATTATTGTTTAGGTAAAAATCTTTCTTGAAATGAATGTAGATTTACTTAAAGAACATATTATTGTCCCACAAGAAAAGTTGTTTGAACTGATATGTTTTCCACGATACCATTCATTACCAAATGTATATCTATGGATACGTTAAATTCCAACTAGTGATAAAACTTGCTGCAAGTAGATCTGGTCAAAAGACTGGAAAAAACTGAATTTATTGAATTTTGAAAAACTTTTCAACCTGGAAACAAGCGTTGATGTGAATGATTTTGATATTTGCTTGATTAGTGATATGGTTTTAGTGTTAAACTGGCATAATCATCATGCTTCATGAGTTAATTAAAATTTTAAATTCATCTCCAGCAGGGCTGTCTAAAATATTTTACTAGTATCATTAACCAGTTAAAATCCTTTGATGATGCTGGACACATTTTAATATCTGCTGTCTTCTTTTCCTCTGTCAGAATACTGCCACAAGTTGTTGCTAGCATATTGTCAGATTCCTTCAAAAGGGAGGAGGTTTTATCTCAATGCGATGCTTCAGATGTTCTTAGAGAAGCATTTTCTCAAGCAGAAGCATCCTTGAATCACAACTATGAGGTTGGGGCCCATACTTCTGTTTTTTTTTTTTTTTTTTGTGGGGGTCGTATGTTTTTTATAGCTCTATGTGGGATTCGTGGCTCTATGTTGCTTTAATATGCTCTTAAAGCAATGTGAGGTTTGACCTTATATGCTCAATGCAATACTAGGTTACCACTCTGCTGGCTTGGATAATGGCGGAGTGCATTTTTTTTGTTATTGCCTCCGTTGTGTTATATTTTCACATTTGATTAGTTAGAAGTTTCAAAGTTTTGTTGGCATCACCTTTCTGCCCATGCTATAGGATCTATGTATTTTAAAGTATGGTGGTTTGTCGAATATCAAGTTTAGTTTACTATTTTGATCACCCCGAAAAGCAAGATGACTATCATGAATGTTTGTGAACTTTGGTTCAATGCTACTTTTGTCCTACATAGAACTTCACTTATATTGTATCTGTACGAACCTTATGCATTTTGATAATCAAAATAATTTCAGGGTTGTACAGCGACAATGCTTCTAGTTTGGGCGGATGGTCAAGAAAATTTCTATGCGCAATGTGCAAATGTTGGCGATTCAGCTTGTGTTGTAAAGTATGTTTTTCGCATTATCTTTATTAATTCCATCACTAGTATATGTATCTGCGGGCGTTAATGCAACCGTGTAAAGTTCTTTCATTTATTATCCGTTTGTTCATTTCTTGTTAGAGACCATTTAGTAGTGTTGTATCTTTTTCAATATAAGATTCTAATATTGCATGTGGCAGTATTGACGGAAAGCAGATTAAGATGACCGAAGATCACAGAATAACTAGTTATTCAGAAAGGCTTCGTTTTGAAGCAACGGGTGAACCTTTGAAAGAGGGGGAAACACGAGTTTGTGGTAACATGATAGTTTAGTTTTTTTTGGTACTTTAATATTCGTTAAAGGTCAATAATTAACTAATTATACTTTATCATCTCCAGGCTTAAACCTTGGCAGGATGCTTGGAGACAAGTTTCTAAAACAACAGGATGCTCGGTTTAGTTCAGAACCTTATATAAGTCAAGCTTTGTACATACACCAGACTAGCACAGGCTTTGCATTATTAGCAAGGTTGTTATACTTCTAAACTATCGTTTTTTTGTCTTTGTATTTACCGATAAATCTCTTTCCATCCACTCTAGTTATAATTTTAACTTTGTGAATGTGCAGTGATGGCTTTTGGGATGTGATAAATATCAAGAAGGCAGTTCAACTTGTTCAACAGGTAATTTTGTTGTGTTCTCGCAGTTTTTTTTTTTTTTTTTAATTTTCTTTATCTGAAGTCGTTTAAAATTCTACTCTATGCAGTGTAAAGAGAGAAGCTCGATCAATGAAAACATGTCAGCGGAAAAGATAGCTAATGTTTTGTTGAATGAAGCCAAAACGCAGCGTACTAAAGATAATACATCCATAATTTTCTTAGATTTTGACACCAACAATAGAATTTTTTCTAATGTACTTGAACCTTAGTGTATTTATTTAAATTTTATATATACATGAATTCAGTTCGATACAGAACTACTCCAATCTTTCTTTTTTCTTGTTCTTTCTTCCTTTTCATTTTAGTAGTTTCTTTTTTCTTGTTCTTTCTTCCCTTTCATTTTAGTAGTTTTGAAAATTCCAGTGGGGATGTGAATGTTGAAGATAAAGATAAAATGTTATTTGATGGATTAGATCATTAGATGATCACCCACTTCACTTCTTTGATTTCTTGTAAAGAATATGCCTACCAAATGTAGAAGGATGTAAAATTTGAAGATATAGTTTTTACTATTTTAAAATATTTGATTCACCAACCATTAAAATTATACGGATTATCTTTTTAAAAGAAGATATTGGTCTATTTGGTAACATAGTTAGCTTATCAATCAATTTTGACTTATTTGACTATTATTAGTTGTTTGACTTAGTTAAACAAGTGTTTAATTAATTAGCTTTTTTTTAATAGCTTATTTCTCTAAAAAGCTTTTTCAATCAATTTTTTTATAGTCATTTTGTATATAATCAGCTAACAACTAATTTACCAAACATCTTTCTACAATCAGCTAATGCTATCAATAGTCAAACATACTAATCCAATCAACTAACAGTTATCATAACATGACAGATAAAATTGAACAGAGGGAAAAGTTTTTTTTAGACCAAACAATATAATTCAACCTCAGAATACAAAATTGATTTGAAATGAATATTTCTAGACCATAAAGTATATAACTCAGCCTATTGAAAAATGATGATTTGTAATAATACAATAATAGAATATGATGCTTGAAGGGAAGAAAGGTAAGATACAATGATTATTAAGCATGCACTTAGATGGTAGTAAAACCAATGATAATTGGTAAAGGCTAAATACTCAGTAGAGTTTCAGTTTTTCTAAATAGAGTAATACATAAGCCTTTAGCTAAAAGCAATAGTACATTGAAATGGTAGAAATGATGAGTCTACAAATCTGACAAACAAATTGAAATGGTAAAATTTATCTTTGCTAGCAGCTACATAAACTTTAAGATGCTAGGCTAACGATAGGGAAACAACATCTCGTCTCAACGGAACTTTGCATTAGTGCTTCTTGGAGAGTCGGGATAGGGTCCTGCTCAATCACGTAAAGAAATAGTCAAAACCAGTTTTACGGGATGCAGATTAAGGTCAGATCAGGGATAGTTTTGAAGTGATACCTGATATTTGCGGGGATTTACTCATCCTCGTTGACATCTAGGGTTTTGAGTTTTGATTCTAGTTCATTGTCATCACCCTCATCCCCGGATTCCTTCTCATCATCATCATCTTCGCCCTCGGGGTCGTTGTCCTCCAAAGATGCAAGCTTTTCAGGGCATTTCTTGAAGATATCTTTCAACTCATCAATGCCTTCATCGGAGATGAAATTCCCGTTAACATTCAGTGATTCAAACTCGGGTTTATGCACCAGAGTCTGAGCCAGCACTCGAGCCCCAGCCCTTCTCAATGAGTTACTGCTCATATCAACCACTTTCAATTGATCGTGACCTTCTTCCAGAGCCTTCACAATCTGGATCGCACCATCATCCTTGAGTTCATTCTCAGACAGGTTGAGCTTGGTGAGAAGCTTCTTTTCGGATATACATGCAGCTAAAGCGGGTGCACCTTTGGCAGTTATATCGTTCCCAGCCATCTCGAGGATTCTAAGTGAAGGGGCCGAGTCCTTGAGAGCATTGGCTATTGCGATTGCTCCCTCGTCCTCGAAATTTAGATAGCACAGGTAAATCTCGGAAAGATTTTCATGCTTGGTGAGGGCTTTGCTCAATGCTTCGCCGCCATCAACCCCAAACATATTGTCCCGCAAATCAAGCTTCGTCAAATGAGTGCACGTCTCGAGTGCTTTAGACAAAGCTTTCCCTCCGTCCGAGCCTACCCTTGTCGAAGAGCATCGAAAATCCTCCAACAATGGAGAACGCTTCACAATTTCAGAAATAGCCACGGCTCCTTCATCTCCCGTCATATTATTGTGAAACTGCAGGACCTTAAGCCTCTCGGTGGAAGGCACCAATTCACAAACGGCTCGTGCAGCTTCCTCCGATATCCCGTCATTCATCAGAAACAATTCCTCCAACTCTTTTTGCGATTGCAGGAGCTTTGCAAATGCCCTAACTCCCTTCTCGCCCAAAGCGTTATCTGAAAGGTTCAGAGACTTCAAATTACAACCTTCCAAAGCTTCCGAGAATATCGTCATGACATCAAGAGCCTCTTTCTCAGGTCTCCCGGCCACAAAATCCGACAGGTCAACTTCCTTCAATTGGCCCTTGAGGCATGCCAAAATAGTCCCAGCAATATGGGCAGCTCCAATCCCAAAGCTTCTATTACTGAAACATATCTTAGTGTAAGCGTTTCCCGGCTCTTTCAAAGGCTTCAAAAGCTCCTCAGCTTCTTCCGCCTCAATAAAAGCCCTTTTCCCCTTGGAGATATCAAAAACGGTTTCACGGGAGACGGGAGCCGCCTTCAACTCCACAGTCTCTTTCTCCTCGGTCTTGGGCACCTTTTTCAGAGCTTCTATGATTAGCTTACTGCATTCTTTGGCATAGAGCTGCACTGCCGAACTCCCATCACCATCGGGCTCCTTATCATAGTGATTATTCGCAACAGAAAAGGCAGCGTCTTCAATTTGTTTAGCTTTCTCAACAGCCTCATCCTTGCTCAGACTACCATACTTGCGAGTGAAAATGGTGGGGGTAGAAAGATTGTTCGTCATCCGATCCACCAAGATTTTCCTCGTGTTTTCACTAGGGGGCCACAATTTAATTGAAAATGGGCGGCGCTCAGGGCTGGGTGCTGTGGAATCCATTGGAACAATATAGGCAGGTGCTGTGGAATCCATTGAAACACCTAAAACAAAGGCAGGTATATAATTCAATATTTTTCCTCGATAAAGAAACCAAAAAGTGACAAAATCGTAAGAAAGGAACAGATTAGACATTTTAATTTTAAGATAGAATTAAAAATAAAAAATAAAAAAAGATATTTGATTATCTATATACAAATACAACTCAAACTTTAGTCACTCCTCATGAGTCACAACTATAAAGCAGATCACCTTTTATCCATCCTATAACTAGTTATCGCAAATTCATTATAAGCTTCGAAGAAGTGTGTATATCCCTAAAAAAAATAGAACCAAAACATTGAAAGATAATAGGAAAAGAACTCTGGTCATTTCCATAGTTCTTTCATTCTTCAACTCGTTCAAAATTCAAACTACTCAATCTTGCAATGCCATCAAATCACATATTCCTACCATCTCTTCCTCAAATCAACTTTCGAATTTCTAGATCTTATGAGAACAACAGCAAGTAAAAACTCCCTCAAAGTCAGAACCATTATCTACTTTAAAGAAGTGGTTTTTTTCATGTAGACACAAATCCACCCACATATCAGACCTAAGTCCATTTTACCCCAAAAATCATACCCATGGTTATATATTCTCCAAAGCATAAATTTTCACAAAGTACCATTCTTTGGCTTGTTTCAATAATGTGAAACCCAACATAACTGGTCACTAGGAAAAAAAAAAAAAAAAAACACTAAAAATCCAATCTTTTTTCAAAAGCCATCCCTATGTTACATTCACAAAACCTGCACTGGAAGTTATCTGTCTTGTCTACAGCTACTTATCCTTAAGTATACTCATACAGAAGCCTAATACAAGTGGACTAAGTCATAAGCATCTTAACAGATTCACCACAAAACCTTCATAAAATTAACAGAAAAAAAATGAAAAAAATAAAAGAGAGATAGAAAAACAAATACCCACACCATGAAACCAAAGAATAAGCAAGGGATATAGCAAATCAATGAAAAAAATCAAACCTTTAGGATCTGGAAATCTATGAACACCCAGAAATGTCAGTGTACATAGACAAGAGACTAAATGTATACGGTGAAAGAAACCCTAGAAATGTGAGCAGCACATTCCATGAAAAATGCATTAAAATCTTAAAAAGGAAAGAGGATAAAAAGAAGAAAAGTACCGTTTTCGGGCTTTTCCAGATTCATGTTTCTCGGGAACGGTTTGGTTTGGTGGAAGACGGCGAGCGAAGCAGTGATGGCTTTAGCTTTAAAAAAGAGGGAGGGAGAGTGAGAGAGAAAAAAGAAGCAGAGGAAATGTGGAGAAAAAGTTGAAACTTAAAAATTGGGGGACGGCAAAATATGCATTGAGATCATTTCACTTGGAGCCCCTGAGGTTTTTGAAATTAAATATGTAGTTAATTACCGAAATGGCCCATTGACTATTGTGAAATTACTGATTTGGTCATTGACTATTTTTTTGACTAATTAAGTCCCTTCACTTTAAAAATCTTAACCAATTTGGTCCTCTGTTTGTTTTACCGTTAGACCTCCGTTAACTTGATATCAAATTGATAATTTTACTATAGTCAATTATCCATTTTAATAAATAATTTTTTGAAAAAAATGGTGCATGTGATGATCGGAATGGTCCCTTGGCTATTACAAAATTACCAATTTGATCCCAAATTAACAGATGTCTAACGGCAAAACAATCGGATAACCAAATTGGTTAAAAATTTCAAAACGAAAAGATTTAATTGATCAATAATTTTGATATAGTCAATGAATCATTTTAGTAATTAAATCTGAAATATATGAACCCTTTTATTTCTTAAATTTACAAAAAAAAAAAAAAAAAAAAAAAAAAAACTCAACCTCAGTCAATTGCCCAATTATTAGAGTATAGTTTAGAAAAAAAATAGAAAACACTTTGTCTCAAAATAATATATGAGTGTGTTTGGTTCGCACATAGGAATCGGAATCGGAATCGGAATGGGTATCAAATACTTGGTAGTAGGGTGGAATGGAATGGGAATAGTTACTAATAGTAGTGCTTGAAAATGAATAAGGGAATGAAACTCTTATTGTATTTGGGTATGGGGTATTCGAAACCCATAGTAGTGTTCTAAAACCTATCAACCAAACAACAACAATCACTTTTATACCCATTCCTATATGCAAAACCCACCAACCAAACACACCCTATGTTGTCTTTTAGTTATTTGTAAAGTGATTTTTCACCTCTCAATTGTCTGTAAAGCAACTAATTTAACCCACCCTAACAAACTTTACATAGGATTGGTGAACGACAAGTAACACATAATATAATTGAAAGACGAAAAATGATATTTTCTTATAATTCACTATAAAAATTATCATTTTCCTTTCTTTAAAGGTAAGTTACTAAAATGGTTTATCTGTAATAGTTTATTATACTAGTTATTGATTTTCAATTTTGACAAATAATATCGTTAGTTTTTATTTAAATTTGCATCTATTTTAGTCATATGAAAACTAAAATAAAATTTATAATATAATTTAAAAATATATACTCCACATTTTCTTCATTCATACTAACTAAATACAAAATATAACAAATCGGAATGTAAATAAGTTTTAGGAGGATTTGTAAATAATTTGATTCAACAAAATATAGAAATTAGAGGGAAAATAATACGTAGAAAGGTAATCGAGGGACAGTTCAATTAGTTATATAACTCAAAATAAATTCATAAATTTTATTTTTACTAATAATTGCATGGTATAAAAATAAAGTTATAAATAATATTGATGTAAGTCAATTGAACACGTTTTGTTATTTATCATCTCCGCCCGTCTTAATGATAGAGCAAAGACTCGAAAGAGCATAGCCAACCACCCATTGAAATCCATTACTTCAAACATTTAAAATTAAGTAGTAGTAGGAAGAGTATTTATTTGTAGTTTGGCTTCCAATAAATTCTAAATTCATACTAGTCACTTTCGTATTAAATGTGATTCTTTTAATTAATTAAAATATATCAAAAAAATCCCCCTTTTAAAATTATACTTATTAAACATCTAATTTTAAAAATTATATAATAAATGTGTGAGTAAGCTTGTTTGTCATATCACAAAGAGATTTTTATTATATACATGTAAGTTGCATTTATAACTTTTTTTTTTAGGTTACTTGATTGTCAACCAATCATATATTGTAATGGCAAATTATATTATGCACCGCGCGTCTTTTTTTTTTTAAATGAAAATAAATAGTGTTAGTTTCCGCCGTTTCGCACCTTTTCACAAAAAGTAACTCTGTTATTCAGTGTCATTTTGTATACACTGCAGTTTCAGTTCAACACAACTATAGTATCATTTCGATATAACTATAGTTTCATTCGATATTTATAAACTCAAATATGTGAAAATGTTATTTAATTTTATTTTATATACACTATAGTTTCATTAAGACACAATTATATGATCATTTTGATATAATTACAGCTTCATTGTACAATATACACTCAAATATGTGAAATGTTATTCAGTTTCATTTTATATACACTGCAGTTTCATTTCACTATAACTACAGTATCATTTTGATATAACTGCAGTGTCGGTTTAGATATACTATAGTGTCAGACTGTCAGTTGGTGTTTAATACACCAAACAAGCGGACTCCGTTAACTCTAACGACGGACCGTTTCTTTACTTAAAGAAACGACGCCGTTTTTTACCGCGGTCTATAATATAACGACTGTATTGTAATGCATACTCTCTATAATAGAGCATATAGAAGAAATTAATAAGAAAAGCAATATAATTGCTTTAGTTACTCGGCTACTGGCAAATTTAAAATGATAAAAAATACTTGAAAAAGGCTTAAGAACATGAACTAATAATATCAAAAGGGTATTGTGATTCTTGGGAAAAGAAGGGTATTAAGGTTTTTTTTTTTTTTTTTTTTTTTTTTTCTGAAGAGTCAAATAGACACTCTAATTTTACATGAAAATACAATTAATCTTTTAAACTTTTATAAAGTGCAATTAATCTCATAAATTTGTTATTTTTGGGCTTTCAATTTTTGACAAATATTAGCAAAACTTAATTTCAACATTCATCAAACTACTCAATAATAATAATTCTTCCCAAAGACTGAATCCTCATTCTCAAGGGCCTCAGAGCATCTGAATGATGTAAATCATGATAACTCAGCGCACAAGGAGCCCTCACTAGGGATGGCTGTGTGGGCCGGGGATGGCTACATCCATCACCCGACCCACCTTATATTTTCTCCACCCACCCCCACCTCCAACCCGCATCGGGTAGACTTTTTCAGACCCACCCCCACCACCACCGAGTGCGGGTGCCCACTACGGGTACCCACCACTTATCATCTTATTATGTTTTTCAAAAAATAATATTTAAATTATTTACACATAATAAAAAAAATAAAATCAATTAGTCATACTAAAACTTAAATAATGAAAATATTTAAATATAATAACTAAATTGTTAATTTTTAAAAATAAACTTAGTACTTTTGATATAAAAAATAGTAAAAAGATACACGAAGTTATATAAACTTTTATAAATAACTACATACTAGTACTTATTTTACTATTATATATATATATATACACACACATATGGTGGGTTGGGTGGGGTTCTAGGCGGGTCTTGTACATAGAACCCGAATCTAACCCGACACACCGCGGGTTTGCTTTTTTAAGATCCACTCCCGACCCACCCACCATCACCCAAAAAAAACTCGATCCATACGGGGTGGATTCGGGTGGATATCCACGGGTCGGATTGAAATTGTCATCCCTAGCCCTCACTTTGAGAGAAAAAGGTAAAATAGATCCTAAATTTTATACGAAAAGTTAATTAGGTCACTGATCGAACTTCTAAAATATGCAATTAAGCTCATAAACATGTTATGTTCATACATCGAAGCCCACCAAGCTTGGAGATATCAAAAACCGGTTTCAAGGGAGACAGAAACAGGCTTAGACTAGCACCCAAGAAAAAGAAACATCATCATCAGACTCCACACTCTCTTCCTCCTCCTCAGTCTTGGGGCCCTTTTTCAGAGCTTCTATGATTAGCTTACAACATTCTTTGGCATACAGCTTCACTGCCCAACACCCATCACCATCACCCTCCTTATCATACTGTTTATTTGCAACACAAAATGCAGCTTCATCAATTTGTTTAGCTTTCTCAAAAGCCTCATCCTTTCTCAGACAACCATACCTGCGAGTCAAAATGGTAGCAGGGGAAGAAAGATTGTACGCCGTCCGATCCACCAACATTTTCCTTGTGTTCTCACTTGGGGGCCAGAAATTCAACAAAGATAACCCTGCTCATTTTCATCTAATTTCATTCTTCAAGTACTCGATCAAATGAATTAAAATTCAAACTACTCAATCTTGCAATAATGCCATCAAATCACGTATATCCCTATCTACCTACCATCTCTGCTTCAAATCAACTTATGACTTTCTAGATCTTATGAGAACAACAGCCAGACAAAATTAACAACTCAAAGAGAAAATGCATTAAAATCTTAAAAAGGAAAGAAAAAAAAAGAAGGAATAAAAGTACCGTTTTCAGGCTTTTCCAGATTCATGTTTCTCGGAAATGGTTTGGTTTGGTGGAAGACGGCGAGTGAAGCAGTGATCGCTTCTTCAGCTTTAAAAAAAGAGTGTGAGAGGAAATGTGGAGAAAAAGTTGAAACTTACAAATTGGGAGACGGCAATTATTCAGCTTTAAGTCAAATATATTGTTGTTATTAGGACTCTTTATATTTGAGTTAGATTATAATTCTCTATTTTAGTTTGTTTGATATTTTCATTATATATATATATATATATATATATATATATATATATGATTAACTGATTCAGTACAATTATTATTCAGTTTTCATCATTGTTATATTAATAAGAGCAAATTACACTTTTGGTCCTGTGAATATTGTGGTCATGTTAATTTCAGTACTTGACTTTAAAAACTAACAATTTAGTCCTGTAACTATGTAATTTTTAACACATTTGGTCCTCCCGACCAAATCACCGGCCAAATGTCACCGGAAAAACGTAAGTCTATTTAAATTATTTATTCATGAGGGTAAAATGGTCATTTCATATCACTTTCTCCTTCTTCCTCCACCTGCTGGCCGGAATATGAGTGAGGCCGGCAACCTTCTACCAATACCAATTCAATTAAAGCCACCGCCCCGCCGGTTTCATCATTTGGACCACTCTCTACTCTTCTTCCTCCTTCTAGGTTTCTCCTCCTTTGGTCCACCCAGTTCCTGTGACTGTTGAACTCTGACCTGAAGCCAACAA